GAAGGTAGTTGGGGTAGGATAGGGAGAGAGGGAGGTGGGGTAGGATAGGGAGAGAGGGAGGTGGGGTAGGATAGGGAGAGAGGGAGGTGGGGTAGGATAGGGAGAGAGGTAGGTGGGGTAGGATAGGGAGAGAGGGAGGTGGGGTAGGATAGGGAGAGAGGGAGGTGGGGTAGGATAGGGAGGTGGGAGTATTTGGGATGATTGATGGCATAGGAAGAAGGGGATGTAGTGATTGATAGAACGAAAGGGATGAGATTGGAAAGGCTTGGTGGGGAATGGGAAGGTGTGGGAGGGATTGGAAGAGATAGGTTTGGTGGGGATTGGGAGAAAGGGATTGGGATTAGGAAGATGTGGGTTGGGAGAGAGGGAAGGTGGGAAATGTCAGAGAGGAGGAGTGGGGATTGGGAAGGTTTGAAAAGGATAGTGAGGGAAGGAGGATGGGGATTGGGAAGATGTGGGACGAAGGGAGCGAGTGTGGGAGGGACGGGGACGGATCAGGAAAGGTCGCAGTTATGACTATCTGAACATTTGAGGCTCGTCAGAGGAATTTAGAAGCGGGATTTGTGACCAATGGAGCATTCTAGGCCCGTCAGGGATGATTGGGAAGCGGCCGCGGTGGTCAAGCACGCACACACGCACGAGCTCAATGCGACTCCATGATACCAACGTCTGACACGGTGTGATACACATACACACACGTGCGCACGCACGCACGCACCAACACACGTACGCACACTTACACACGCTCACATACTCGTGCACTCACACACACGCACGTGCGTGCACATACACACACACGTACACGTGCACATACACACACGCGCGCGCGCGTGTACGCACGTGTACGCACGCACATGTACGCTCTCGTTCTTCATGCAACCCATGACATCGGCTCGTCCTGATTGGTTCTCACCGTCGGCAGTATTTTTTGATTTTTCATAGTTTTTTTAGCTCGTTTTCTGTTTCGAGCGAAGCCTGCCAACCAGTATAGAATCGTGCAGCATGCTACGAGATGATAGCAGTCAGACGCATATAGATACATATAGATATATATACATGCGCGCATATATACATTTAAGTATGCATATATATGTGTATATAAATATACCGAGTATTGGTTAGGATAAAGTATTATTGTCGCATGAGAGCGTTAGCAGTCGGTTTTCTCGTCACGCTTTCCGTTTTATGAAAAATTTTCGCGAGCGTTTGTCGCGATTTGTAGCTTGTTTCTTGTTTCGACCGATCGCGAAAGGGTTAGGGTGCGCGAGAGATCCGCGATTGTCATGAAAACTGCTTTTACGTAGAAGAACGATAGCCAATCGGAGAGAAGGTGGTGTTAAACTGCCTTTCTTACCGGCACTACCTGCGCGCGCGTGCCCCGGCATATCTGCATCTCCTCGCGTTTTTACTGCTACCTACCTCTCTAACATTTGCATTTTTTCCTGCGTCGGTGAAAGTTGTTCGCTCTGTCGCAGCGGTCCGGCGGCACATTCGGTTTCCGTTTCTCTTATTCTTAAAGGTACAGGATCTGGCATTTACAGTTGCTGTGAGTACGTGTTGTCCGCCTACCATATATATTCATACACAGCAACTATACGTATACAGCAAAGCTGCTGAGCCAACCGCTAAAACAGCGTGCACAAGTGCCGTCAGTATATCAGCAGCCTGTCTCCACACACGCGGCACGACACGACACAGCAAAACGCAGCGCCGTTGTGCTGGAAAAAAAATACATTGTGATTTCGCGCATTGTATCTGAGCGCATTGTGTTCACTCTGGTTCAGTGATCCGAAATTATGCATGTGCTTGTTGTCCATTGGCTGATGGTAGCGTGAGCAGAACACGTGATAAAAACAATCGCGTTGATTGGTTCAAAAAAACTCATTTGACTTTCGCCGTCGCCGTGAAACCCGGCTGGCGCCGTGTCATGTCAGTGGAGACTGCGCCATAAGATATAATAGATTTGAACTTTGCCGGTAGGGGTGAACGACGCCGTTTCCGTGGCGTTCCGTGCCGCGCCGCGTGTGTGGAGACGGGCCTTTACTCGCCAAACGCTGAGTGAGTGACAGCGCCTGAATGCCAGATCCTGCCCCTTTAACGTGACGATGGTGCCACTTGTCGCGATGGCCGTCCCCTTTCCCGACACCGGTTTCCTTCCGTATTTCGTTTTACGCTTTGTTTCGTTTGCGCTACTTAAACGACGATCTGCGTTTCGTTTTCGACGCGACGTAAGTAACGTGAAAATAATCTGTCGCCATTCAATGCAGGAGAGAAAAAGACGAGGGTAGGTATTCGTGTGGGTCGGTAGTCGCCGTCGGCAACGTTAAAATGCGCGGAACTGTTGAGCGGTGGTTTAAATTCGTGAAGATGAAACGTGGAAGAAGCTGCCGATTGCTTAACGAAAAATTCACACATAACAAATCGATAGCTCGAAAACAAGTGCCATCAAATGCCCCAGCTGTTAAAAAAACTAGCGTGCGTTCATCGAGATGCATGGCTATCCATTCCCGAAAAGGCCATCCTCCGTTAAAACGTGAAATTCTTATAAAAAAATCTTTCCGGATTGAACTGCGCGAGGGGGAATCAAACAATGGGGTCGGGGTGTGCTTGACGTCAGAACAAGAGAGCTTTGGTCTCGAAGCGCGCGTATTCTGCTGCTGCTTTGCAGGCGTTTGCGTGGTTCTCCGACCTGATGGTGGAGCATGCTGAGCTGTTCTGGTCTCTGTTCGCTGTGGACATGGACTCTGTGCTGGAGGCGCAGCCAGCCGACACGTGGGACAGCTTCCCTCTGTTCCAACTACTCAATGATTACCTTTGCAACGACGGTGAGTGTCTGCCACGCACTAATACCCACGCTTCACACTAATAGCAGACGTGTGGTGCGCGCGCGTGCGTGCGTGTGTGTGTGCGTGCGTGCGTGCGTGCGTGCGTGCGTGCGTGCGTGCGTGCGTGCGTGTGTGTGTGTGTGTGTGTGTGTGTGTGTGTGTGTGTGTGAGTAGTGAGAGAGAGTAGTGTGTGTGTGTGTGTGTGTGTGTGTGTGTGTGTGTATGTGCGTGTCGTGCGTGTGCGTGTGCGTGTGCATGCGTGTGTTGTGTGCGTGTGTGTGTGTGTGTGTCTGTGTGGTGTGTGTGTGTCTGTGTGTGTGTGTGTGGCGTGTGTGTGTGTGTGCGGTGTGTAGTGTGTCGTGTGTGTGTGTGTGTGTGTAGTGTGGGGTTGTGTGCGGTGTGTGTTTTGATACATAATGTATTGTCTCTGAGGTGCACATAGGCATGCGTGGGTTTGTGTGTGTGCAGTGTGATGTGTGTGTGTGTGTGGTGTGTGTGTATGTGTGTGTGTGTGTGCTTGCGTGTGTGTGTGCGTGTGTGTGATGTGTGTGTGTGTGTGGTAGTCGTGAGTGTGTGCGTGCGTGTGTGTGTGTTGTGTGTGTGTGTGTCGTGTGTTTACAGAACATAAATGTATTGTCTCTGTGCACAATAGGCGTGCGTGAGTGGGTGTGCCGTGTGTGTGTGACGTGTGTGTGTGTGTGTGTGTAAGTGTGTGTGTGCGTGTGTGTGTTTGATACATAATGTATTGTCTCTGTGCACATAGGCGTGTGTGTGTGTGTGCGCCAGCGCAGCTGGCGCGTGTGCGTGTGTGTGTGTGTGTGTTGTGTGTGTGTGATACATAATAGTAATTGTCTCTGCATGGCACAATAGGCGTTGTGCTGTGTGTGTGTGTGTGCGTGTGTGTATGTGTGTGTGGTGCGTGGTGTGTTGCGTGTGTGTTGCGTGTCGTGTGTGTGGTGTGTGTGATACACTAATCTATTTCTCTGTGCCATAGGCCGTGCGTGCGTGTGTGTGTGTGTGTGTGTGTGTGTGTGTGTGTGTGTGTGTGTGTGTGTGTGTGTGTGTGTGTGTGTGTGTGTGTGTGTGATACATAATGTATTGTCTCTGTGCACATAGGCGTGCGTGCGTGTGTGTGTGTGCGTGTGTGTGTGTGTGTGTGTGTGTGTGTGCGTGTCGTGTGGTGTGTGTGCGCGCGCGCGGTGTGTGTGTGGTGTGTGTGTGTGTGTGTGTGTGTGTGTGATGTGTGCGTGTGTGTGTCGTTTGTGATACATAATCTATTGTCTCTGTGCACATAGGCGTGCGTGTGTGTGTGTGTGTGTGTGTGTGTGTGTGTGTGTGTGTGTGTGTGTGTGTGTGTGTGTGTGTGTGTGTGTGTGTTCGTGCGTGTGTGTGATACATAATCTATTGTCTCTGTGCACATAGGCGTGGTGGCCGTGTGGTTGTCGTGTGTGTGTGTGTGTGCTATGTGTGTGTGTGTGTGTGCGTGTGTGTGTGTGTGTGTGTGTGTGATACATAATGTATTGTCTCTGTGCACGATAGGCGGGCGTGTGTTGTGTGTGTGTGTGCGTGTGTGTGGTGTGTGTGTGTGTGCGTCGTGTGTTGTGTGTGTGGCGTGTGTGTGTGTGTGGCGCGCGCGCGTGTTGTGTTGTGTGGCTGTGGTGTGTGTGTGTTGTATTGTGTGTGTGTGTGTGATGTGTGTGTCGTGAGTGTGGTGAGTGTGTGGTGTGTGGTGCGTGTGTGTGATAGCATAATCTACTCTGTCTGCTGGCACATAGGCGTGTGTGCGTGTGTGTCGTGCGTGTGTTGTGTGTCGTGTGTGTGTGTGTGCGTTGTGTGTGTGTGTGTGTGTGTGTGTGTGTGTGTGATTTGATAACATAATGTATTGTTCTGTGACATAGGCGCTGCCGTGTGTGTGTGTGTGTGCGTGTGTGTGTGTAGTGTAGCTGTGTGCGTGTGTGTGTGTGGTGTGTGTGGCGTGTGTGTGTGTGGTGCGCGCCTGCGTGCGGTGTGTGGTGTGTCGTGTGTGTGTGTGTGGTGATACATAATGCTATTGATCTCATGTGCAGCATAGGCGTGGCGTGTGTGTGTGTGTGCGTGTAGTGTGTGTGTGGTGTGCGGTGTGTGTGTGTGCGCTGTGTGTGTGTTGTGTGTGGCGTGCTGTGTGGTGTGTGCGTGTGTGTGATGTGTGTGTGTGTGTTCGTGTGTGTGTGATCACTAAATGCTATGTCTCGCTGTGCACCATACCGCTGCGTGAGTGTGTGCCGCTGTGTGTCCTGGTGTGCTGGTGTGTGTGCGGTGTGTCGTGTGTGTGTGTGCTGTGTGTGTCGTGTGTGTGTGTGTGTGTGTGTGTGTGTGTGTGAGAAGACGAGCAAGAGAGAGAGTGTTGCTGTGACTGTGTGTGTGTGCTGTCGTTGTGTAGGGTCCGGGATCTGCGCTGGCCACCATTATGCACTGTGTGCGTGCGTGTGCGATGCTGCCGCGTGTGCATGCCGTGTGTTGTGTGGGTGTGTGTGTGTGTCGTGTCTGTATGTGTTGGTGTGTGTGTGTCCTGTGTGTGTTGTCTGTGTGCGGTGTGGCTGTGTCGTGTGAACTCCGAAGTGTAGTGTGTGTGGATGAGAGAGAGAGGTGTGTTGTGTGTGTGTGTGTGTGTGTGTGTATGTGTGTGCGTGCGTGTGCGTGTGCGTGTGCATGCGTGTGTTGTGTGCGTGTGCATGTGCGAGCGTGTGTTGTGTGCGTGCGTGCGTGCGTGCGTACGTGCGTGCGTGCATGCCTGCGTGCAAGTGTGCGTGCGTGTGCGTGTCTGTATATGTATATGTGTATGTATGTACATATATATATACATGTATTTTTGGTGTATAAATTTGCATACATATGTGCGTATATTTTTATTTATTTATATACAGTGATATTTGCCATGTCACTACCGGTATTTCATGGTAATGCTTGATCGACAGTCATTCACGTTAATGCCTAAATGGCTAGTATTTCACATTAACGCATCAGCGCCAGTCATGCGTTCATGTGTGGCGTTTGCTCATGCGTGCGTTCTTGCTTCTTTCTCTCGCTCTCCACCACAGACACGCTGTGCAATGGCCGCTTCCACAACAAGCTGCGCGACACGTTTGCACCGATGGTGGTGCGCTACGTCGACCTAATGGAGTCCTCGATCGCCCAGTCCATCCACAAGGGCTTCGAGCGTGAGAAGTGGGAGATACGAGGGTAACGTCTCCCACCTCCTCCTCCTCCTCCTCCTCCTCCTCTTCCTCCTCCCCCTCCTCCCCCTCTTCTCCCTCCTCCTCCCCCTCCTCCTCTGCCTCTTCTTCTTCCTCCTCCTATACCCTCCTCTCCTGCATCCCCTGCTTCCCCTGCTTCTTCTCCCACTACCTCCTCTCTCCTGCCTCCCCTGCAGTGCTTCCTCTCCCACCACCTCCTCTCTCCTACCTCCACCTCCTTCTCTACCCTCCTCTTTCCTACTTCCGTTGCTTCCTCTCGCACCTCTCCTATCTTTTGTCTGACATTCACTACCTGCTTTCTTCCCTCCTCTATCCTTCTCTCCTACCTTCCCTAATTTTGCTCCTATATCCACTAGCTGCTCTCCTGCGTCCACCTCCTCTCTTACCTCTGTCTGCCTGCTCACTAGCTTGCTATCCTATCCCTATTCTAGCTTTCTAAACCTTACCAAACTCCTCTACTCTACCTACGTCTTCTACCCCCGCCACCTCCTCACCCTCTCCTACCTCCTCCTCCTCCTCCTCTACCTCGTCTACCTCTTCTCCTATCTCGCCTACCTCTTCTACCTTGCTGCTTTCACATTCCTCTTCACTCCTCCTCAGCCACCTCCTTACTTCCTCTTCTACCTCCCCTGCCTCCTAGTCCTGTCCAGACACAAGGTGAGATAAGAGGGTCAAGTCCCCGTGCTGTCAGCCCTCCAGCTACCCGTGCCAGCCCTGTCCCATGCCTCTCTTTCTCTACCCCTACCTCCCTGCACTATCCCCTACCTATCTACTACTGTTACGGGTAACACTCGCGTGTCTGTGTTCTATGTGCAGCCGCGTTCTCTTGATTCTACTTGTGGCGCGTTTGAGTAGGTATGTTCACACGCCTCTCTGGCGCTATGCGTGTGTCTGGTAGCGAAGTATTGCATGCTACTAAATGTCGGGTTTCATGTTGTGTGTGTGTGTGTGTGTGTGTGCCCATCAAGACAACGAATTGTGTGCGTGCGTGCGTGCGTGCGTGCGTGCGTGCGTGCGTGCGTGCGTGCGTGCGTGTGTGTGGGGGGGGGGGGGGTTCAGTTTTGCAGTGTTAGCCCCGGGAAGAAGAGAAGGGGTCGCCAGGTGGCGCCTCTGTCACTGCCGTATCCCGTAAACATCCACGCGTCGTGACCCCCCGCGTTCACGCGTCCCCCTGCGCGTCCCCCCGCGTTCACGCGACCCCACGCGTTCACGCGTCCCCCTGCGCGTCCCCCCGCGTTCACGCGACCCCA